AAAAAACAAAACCACAAAAACAAAACAAAGCAAACCCCATAAACCACGAGCGATGGCATGTGTCTCTAATCCCAACACACAGTGACTGGCAGAAAGGTCATACATTCAAGCCACTGTAGAAAATTTAGCAAGACCTTGTCTCAAAATACAACAAACACTAGTAAAGGGTGTGCAGCTCAGCTTACTGACCTGCGTTCGTCTGGTATGTGTCCAACCCTGAGGGAACTGTTAGTGCTAATGGAGGAAACTGGGGGTTTGAGCCCTTTGTATCCTGATGGTGAGGAAACCGTTGGACCCTCAACCTGCACAGGACAGGTGGCACTAGGAGTCTTTATTAATGTCTGTTAATTGAGTTTTACAAAATTAGGGTTTTGCTAAACCTGCCATAAAACTAGTACCTTAGATTAGATACAGACATTATCTTTGTTTTATATATGAGGTTGATAGAATTTAATTAACTTCCTCAAGAGCATACCGTTATTAAGTGGCAGAGCTAGTATTAAAACCCTGATAGCCTACTTCCAGAGCCCAGCCCTTGTTTAACTACCTGGTGGGTGGTAAATATATACTAATCACTGTGATTATTGGGGACTGTGGGGACCCTGTGTGGCATCTGTCCTCCTTGAGTAGCTAGTGAAGTCAGAGGGTGGGACCTGCACCTCTTGCTCTAGAGCTGGCTGCAAAAGAGCCTGAGTGGTGGGTGATCATAATGGACAGCTGTTCTGCTGTTCCAGCTGAGCTCAACTTGTAGGTTTGGTCACAACCTGCTGGCCTTCCCCGCTCCCCACAAGCTCATCCCAAAGAGAGAACAGAGTTACAAAGTCTGCATGAGGCATGGCACTCGGGGTGGAAGTTGAAGAAGCCACATCGTGTAGGGCCTGACCTACATCGGTTTCTGACCACACGCTGGTAAAGGGAAGGTTGTCCTATGGGCTTATGGAGATACAGGGTGAAAGGCTGAGAGAGTGCTTGCCCTGGGTGGGCAGGTACACCTCTGAAGGGGTGACTATGCCTATACTTTGAAGAATAAAGATTTATTTGTGGGGTGGGTTGTGGGTAGGGGAGAGGAACTAGTTGCAGCAGGTCCAAATAGTTTACGGAACTGAAAGAAGCCAGCACACCCAGAGTAGGCCTGGGTTGGGGGTGGGGCCATGGCCAAACAGGGGGACTACTGATTGGGTGAGCACTGGGACCAGGTCAACTCATCTGAAACTTACAGACCATGGTAGGAAATGTGCATTTTATTCTTTATTCCGAGAAAATTCCTTGAGTTTAAAATAGTCATTTATTATTTTGAAATTATGTGTGAGTCAGAAGGAGAGCTACACGTGTGGGGGAGTCAGAGGGCAGCTTGTAGGGTTATCTCTTCCGGCTCAGTGGCAAACCCGGCTACCTGCTGAACAAGTGTGAGGCTCAGGTTTGTGGCTGGAGCGGTTGGATCGTTTACCTGGTGGAACAGGAACAGGAAGAGGACAGTTCTGTGTGTTTTCACCTTGCTAAGTTCTCCATACTTAGGTATCTTCTCCTGGACCTCCTGAGGTCCTGCTGCGTAGAAAAGAGATTTCAAGAGAAGATTGGCTTTGGGGGTTTTATGTTTCTAGATGGCGTTTAACCTGAAACGGTCAGTTGTATAGTTTTCTCATCCCTGAGACCAAACACCTTGCAGAAGTCCTCACAGGAGCGAAGGCTTACGTTCTCCATCTCACAGAGCTCCCTGTGCTTGCCTACACCACACACTCGAGCAGACATCGCGGAAGGGCTGGGCTTTGGGCTGTTCTGTACACCTTGGCAGGCAGGAACGGGACAGAAAAGATAGGGTGCCCAACCCAAAGTATCTCCTTCCAGCTAAGTTCTACCTCCAAAGTAAAAACACTAAGACGTTTATCTTTGTTTAGTGTGAGGGGATGTACAGGTGTGCATGTGTAGGGCAGAGGACATTTTCAAGTTGGTTTTCTCCTTTTAACCATTTGAGTTCCTGGAATCAAACTCAGGTTGTCAGGCTTGTAGCCTCATTCACTGAGCTATCTGGTTGGACCCTCCACCTCCTAAAATTTTAGGATTCCCTCAAGCTAGACATAGTGGCATATCTGTGATTCCAGTGTTCAGGAGGTGGAGGCAGGGGAATCAGGAGTTTAGGACTATCTTCAGCTGTAGAGTGAGTTTAAGGCCAGGCTAGATTTTGCCTAACAACAGCAAAGTGGTGCCACCAGCTGGTAGCCAAGTGTTTAACACATGCGCCTGTGGAGGGCATTTCACATTGAACTGTAACATAGCTATAGAGGGGTCACAAGGACGAGAAGCTAGAAAGCAGCCTAGGGCCCTCTCCTGAGGAACTGCATTGTCAGGAGCTAAAGTAGTAGAAGTGCGTGATGCAGAGAAGGTCCCAGAGAGCCCCGTGTCCATGGGGAAGTGCGTGATGCAGAGGAGGTCCCAGAGAGCCCCGTGTCCATGGGGAAGTTCGTGATGCAGAGGAGGTCCCAGAGAGCCCCGTGTCCATGGGGAAGTGCGTGATGCAGAAGAGGCCCCAGGAGCCCCGTGTCCATGGGGAAGTGCGTGATGCAGAGAAGGTCCCAGAGAGCCCCGTGTCCATGGGGGCTCCTGTAGGATTGACAGGAGGAAGGAGAAGTGGTTACTGTGCCAAACGCTAATCCAGAAAAGTGGTCATTGGACTTGGTTACTGAGCCCATTAGTGGGCTTGAGAAGAGCAGCTCCAGCAGGCTGGACTGAAGGAGGAATGGAGCTGAGAACAGCATTGTATGTAGACCTGTGCTTCTCAACCTTAGGAACTGTGTGAATCTCATTGTCACAATCCAGACTCTACTATGTGGACCAAGATCCTGCCTCCTCAGGAACCTCCCAGGCAGTGTCAGGGCCCTGCAGAGTGCACTTTGAACAGCAGAGGTGTAGATTGACAACTCCTGTTTTAGTGCATGAAGGGTTTGAGAATTGGCCTCTCTTCAGTTTCTGATTTGTAGCTCTAGGATGGTGTCCAGGCATTTCCTTATTAATCCTCAGGTGAAGCTGACATGGGTGGTTCCCATACCTTAAGAATTCGGAGATTCCTAAGCTTTGAAGAACTATGAGGGAAATCATCAGAAGGCCTTAATGAATATGGGAAATTTCTAGGGCATATTCTGAGACAAGTGACCCAGGAGAGGCATCAGTATGTAAATAACTCAGTGGTGGAGTGCTTGTTGCCATTCACATCCCCGGGTTTGCACGCGTGCACACACGCGCACACACACGCAAACAAGGTGAGTCAGTAACACGGGAGGGATGTCACTGAGAAGATGTGGGGTTGAGAAGATGTGGGACAGCCCCAAAGCATGTGGGTCAGTCCTGGGTTTTGATCAGAGGGTGTGGTCGGTGGTCTTAGAGCCAGGGAGACTGTAGAGAGTGCTGTCCGAGAGCAGCCCGGGGGCACAGGTCCATGAGAAGAGATGGAGCTGTCTGGATCTGCCTTTGGTAGCTTCTGTTCTATCAAGGAAAGCGGGAGGAGGGGTTGGAAGTTTGAGAGGCAGAGAAGTCATGAGATCATTTCAGAGTAGAAAGTGACCTTGTGAGAGGAGTCACTGTTTTAGAGTATGTTTGCAATTATGTTCAGAAGTAAAAACTTAGAAGCAGTCTGATTATGGATTCTTTTTTTCAATCATAGTTAGCCTTGGGTAATTAGGTGGTTTCGTTCACCCAAGGTTAGACTTTATCCAAGGGAAGAGTACAATGGAGCAGTCAGGAGGCTGAAGACAGGAGAGCTGGAGAGACAGCAATGAGGTCAGCAACCTGCTGCACTAAGGTGGAGTAGAGAGAGCAAGCCGAAAGGTTGGAGGGGAGCCGGTGCCGGAGAGAGATGGCTGAAGTGTGGTGCTGTGTGAGGTGGAGTTTCCGGAGAGGTCAGGAAACAGGATGTTGGATATGCCCTCCAGTTGGATAATATAGTTGCCAAAAATGTTGTCAAAAGTTGGGAGTGGAGGAGTACTTTCTGATAGGACAGACTTTTGGAGGATGATGGAAAATTCTAGTCAATAGATCACTGCAGCAGAGCTGATGGTTCTTCAGGGTTGCTAGCAAGGCCTTTTAGAAAACAAATGGGAAGTAGTGATCTTGAAGTGGTGTAAGATGCCACGCTACAGCCTGTGTGAGAGAGCACCCTTCTGAGGGCAGCACTCAGAAAGGAGGCTGGGAAATCCCAAGAGTGTTACTACAAATCAGATTGATGGTTAAAGAGTGAGGATCCGTGTGGTTTGGGGTGAGAGGAGGACTCTTGAGTAGGGACAGACTGGTGAGCCAGAGCTCTGTACTGGTCACTGCGGTTCTACACTGCTGTCACGTTGCTGCTTATCCCACCCGGCTTCACTCAGCGATCACTGTGTACATCACTATTGTGAGTGTTTATACTCCTCTGTCACTCTTTCCCACACCCGAGGGCTTCCTACGTGTGTGCCTCAGTCTCTGGGAAGTGTCTAGCACTTGGAAGGGCTCATTCTCCTGGAAGCACCATAATTTCTGGACTCTTTACTTTGAGCAGCATGAAGTCTCAAGGTGACAGAGGCCTGGGCACAGGGTCCATACGAAGATTATCAGTGTGTTGGCTCCCTGGACGGGCTGCTGCTTGGTTTCATGAAGTTGATTAGAACATAGCCACACCCACTTTATAGATTCCTATTATCTAGCTGCTTTCAGGCAACAACTACAAGCTGAGGAGTTGTGTCAGGGACCTTACGGGGCAATGGAGAGTCTAAAATGCTACTGTCTGTGCCTCTCTGGAAAATACTTACCAACTGCTGATATAGACAAAAGAGACAAAAGAAAGCTTCTTGAATAAATAGGAGCCTTCTCTGGGTGGTGGGTCATGAGTCGTTAGAGTCCATCTCTTGGTTTCTGTTTTTTTTTGTGCGTGTGTGTCGCCACAAATTTAATTTGGAAATGAACTAGCCTGAAAGGTTTTACAGAGAGTAGTTGGAGCGTTCCTGACGGTGGCTCTGCTGTTCTCCTCACATCAGTGCTGCTTTTGATACGAAGACGGGGCACCGTGTGGCTGTGAAGAAGCTCTCCAGACCGTTTCAGTCCATCATTCACGCCAAAAGGACCTACCGAGAGCTGCGCCTGCTGAAGCACATGAAACACGAGAATGTGAGTCCTCCTCCTCCTCCCGCACACACTGAAGGCTCACATGCGGTACGCGGACACACAACACACTGTCAGGGTGGGTTCATGCCGCACGAGGGCTGTCAGGTCGTCGTGGATGATGGATGGAGGGCCTCTTCCCAGGGGTGTAGTTTTACTGCAGGATCTCAAGAAGCATGTCACTTTCTATTTGTGTTGAGTTAGTTTCTGTGTGTGTTTGCCTGCTGGCATTGTTGTGCACCATGGGGTGCAGTACCCTTAGAGTCCAGAGATGTCAGACCCCTGGAACTGCGATCTCAGGTGCTTCTCAGCCCCACTGTGAGCCCCACTGCGGGGGCTGAGAACCAACCTGACCGCTCTGCTCTTCACTTAGATAGTAGTAGTGTTCGTTGTGTGTTGTTTGTTTTGTTTTTCTAGACACAGGGTTTCTCTGTATCGCCCTAGCTGTCCTAGAACTCACTTTGTAGACCAGACTGACCTCAGACTCACAGAGATCCACCTGCGTCTGCATCTCAAGTGCTCAGATTAAAGGTGTGTGCCACCACAGCTGGCTGTGATTTGTATGTTTTACGTGTTTGTTTGAGACAGGGTCCAGTATGTAGTCCTGGCTGGGTTGGAATTACTGAACCACTCTCTGTTGCTTTGTATTTTTAAACAAAGCAGGCACAGAGGGGAATGGGAAATGACCAGAATACTTAGACTTAATGTAGACATTATCTCACCTTTCAGTCTTTCAATTTTATGCAGTGAAAAACAAAGACTTGGGGCTGGAGAAATGTCTCAGTGGCTATGAGCATTTGCTGCTCTTGTAGAGGACCCAAGATTGGTTCCCAGCACCGACATTGAGTGACTCACACCTGCCTGTAACTCTAGCTTCAGGGTTCAGTGCCTCCCTCTGGCATCTAGGGTTACACATGTACACAGGGCAGGGGAGACAGACACAGAGAAAGAGACACAAAATAAAATATTATGTAAGGCAGGAATCCTAATTCCTTTTTGCTGTCTGATACACTACTGGCATGTTAAATTCTGAGAAGATACAGGATTTTTTCATGGTGTTATGTGAAGTGATAAGCCAGGTGCTGTGGCACATGTCTGTAAGCATTTGGGAGGTGGTGGAAGAAAGGAAGAGCAGGAGTCCAAGGTAGCGTAGGCCATATGAAATGCTGTCTGTAAACACCAAATCCTCAGAAAGAAATGATGTCAGAAGCATAGTCTGGGTAGAAAGTCGGGGGACTGAGCACATGGGTGTGTCTGCACTTGGAGTTAGTTCTACCTAAAACACTGCAGAAAGCACTGTAAGAAAGCCATTACTTTCTCACTGTTTGATTTTTATGTGTTCTTGCAGGTGATTGGTCTGTTGGACGTGTTTACACCCGCAAGATCCCTGGAAGAATTCAACGATGTGTGAGTGAATCTTTTGCGTTTGCAGCCTTAGCTAGAGGATGGGGATGAGCAGTCCAGGAGCATCCACACTTCCAAAGATCATTCTCTCTCTACCTGTTCTGGGTTCTTGGGGAAGGGGTCCATAAAGTGAGTATAAGGTTATGGTGGTGCACTCAGGGCACAGTGTAGCCACTCGGAGCCAGTGACGCGTGCTTACAGAAGTCCACAGGCAGGGAGGGTAGGGAACTTTGATTATAATTTTTTTCCATAAATGCCAGTCTCCATAGATGTTTCCTTCTTTGATGCCTCGTGGTGGCGGAGTTGACACTGAGGCTACATGCTGGTACTTAAGATAAAGACTTCTTCCAGCCTGCTGCCTCCTAGAAAGCAGAGCCTAGAAGTCCCAGGAAGCACACGTAGAGGCCAGGAGAAATAAAACAGGAAAGAAGGGAATGGTAACACATGGATGTGTTAGTGAGAACAGCTGTGGGAACTGCCCTGTGTAGGAAGCCCTACAGAGCACACCTCCATCCGACGGGGCTGCTCCTCTCCCTGCTCCTAACACAGCACACCTCCGTCCGACGGGGCTGCTCCTCTCCCTGCTCCTAAGCTTTGCTCTGTTGTTCATGAATGCTTCACACGCTGACACACGTGTGATGCAAGACAGCAGGTGTCTTGTGCAAATCCAGCCTTCCCACCACCGTACCTTTCCTAGTATGATTAACACCCGCATTAATTATCAACTTGACAGAATCCAGAATCACCTGATGGGCCCCTGGGCATGCCTGTTGAGGCAGGGGGTTGTCTTGACTGTTAATTGATGAAGGAAGAGCCACCTAAACTGGTTGTGACGATTCTCTAGGCAGGGCATCTGCAACTGTGTAGAAGCCAGCAGGGCAGTAGCATCTCATTCTTCTTGTTTTGGGACTCTGGAATTCCTAATTGGAAAGTATGTTTATTGTAAAAGCTAAACTGTAAGTTATCACTGCTCTTCCCTAACTTCCTGTATTAGTAAGCTACCTTTCTCTACCACATAACCAAAGAAATTAGCTTATGTAAAGAGAAAAATGGGTTTCTTACCTCCTGGTTTTAAAGGTTCCACATTGTAGTCAAATGAGCCCATGGTTTCTAGGCTTCTGGTAGAGGTGCCAGGCAGCACTGGGAGAGAGTGTTGACATAACAGAAACCACTCCTCTCATGGCTAAGAAGCAAAAGAAAGGACAGACCAGGATTCTACAGCCTGCAGAGCCATATGACTGAAGCCTTGCCATGCAGTGAGAATTTGGAATTTTGGTTTCTTCATGAAAAACTACTTCACAGAAATAGTGTAAGAATGTTTTCATTTTAGTCCCAGGTGTGGGGATGTGGGGCTGCTTTGCAGCAGCTGACTGCAGTTCGCCTCGGGCTCTAGCACAGTGTTTTCCAGCTAGTTTCTGGGATTGTGTAATGTTTGGAATTCTGGAAACTTTTTACAAGGCATATAAATGCTAGGGCCCCGATGCTAGGTTGGTGGATGGTGGTTGTTCAGTAGGGTTGGTTGCGGTTTGCTAGTGGTCGTGCTCAAGAAAAAAGAAATGAGATTCAGGAATCTCTCTCTCCCTTCCTCCCTCCCCCTCTCTATCTAGTGATGGGGGTGAACCCAGAGGATAAAGGGTGGGAAGAAAGAAGAACCCACAAAGTAGCAAAGACCGCTGCATTGCTGCCGAGTGCTTTCTCTGCTTCTGTAGCGCCCTTGCAAATGACGCCTTGGGCACGGGGCTGTGTGGGGTTATCTCCATCCACACTGTACCAACGCCACTCCTCATGCTCCAGTGCAAACCAGCTTCTCTCCTCTCTTTCTTTGGAATGTATGTCAACACCATTTATCTTTTCCCACAAACAACCAGGCAGAGAGCAGCATTTGTCCTCTTGTATTATGTTTATAGAAAAGGGAAAACAGGAACTGCCAAAGATGAAGTAGGCGAGGAGGAGTGGTGGCAGCAGGTCCCAGCCGGAGCCACTGAGAACGCAGGTAGCAGGAAGGAGGCTGCTTGGCCGCGTACAGGAACTCAGCCATGTTAGCTTGACCTGCAGATGAAAGTTTAGGAAGCAAGTGAAAAGGAAGACTGGCAGTGACTCAGAACAGTGACAGGCTGTTCCCGTAGTCCTGGCTCAGCAGCAGAGCGGAGGCTCCACCCACACAGGCTGAGCAGACTACAGAGCCCTGTTGCAGCCTGTGCCTGCAAAAGAGAGTGGTGAGAGACGGATGCTGCTGCAGTCTTTTTATGAATGACTTTGAAAACCACTGGAGTTGGGTCTGAGTGGTAACCTAAGTTTTTAGTGAGGATAGACTCTGACAGAAAAAAAAAAGACTCGTGGACCCCAAGTATTGGGTTTTGGTTTAATTGAGCATTCTGGAATGAAAAGTGGGCCTGTTTTTGCTCCATTGAAAGGACACTAATGAAGGCTGATGTCTATTTGAAGGGTTAAATTTTAAGATCTTTTTTTATTGTATGTATGTATGGCTGTGTGTGTGTGTGTGTGTGTGTGTGTGTGTGTGTGTGTGTGTGTATGCTATATACATACCTGGTGTTTGTGTAGGCCAGAAAAGTGTGTCACATCTTCTGGCTAGAGCTATCGGTGGTTGTGAGCCACAGTGGGGGTCCTGTGCAAGAATAGCCAGGGCTCCTAACCCCTGAGCCCTCCCTACCTAGTCCCTAGCTCTTGTTTGAGCAAAGCAGCTCTCAAGTGCTGTCTGGTGGATACTGTGTCCTAAGTGCTGAGTACCTGCAAGTCAGTTAATGTGCTCTCAGTGAGAACAGTGGTGAGCCTGAGCGTACAGTAGGGAGTGTTTCATTGCTGACTGTTGGTGATATTGATACCAGTCAAAGACTTAGCACGCTTCCAGAACAGAGCTTCTTTCTGTGTTCTCTACATATTAAACATCTTCACATAGAGAATGAGAATGGAGTGCAGTGTTGCCTGTCGAGCCTTTGTGAACTGTTTGTGTTCACTAAGAAAACAACATTCCGAGGATTAGAGACGAAGGGTGCCGGATGCATAGCAGGCTCCAGTTCTGAGGCTGCATGCCCCATGCTAACCAGCAACGCTGCAGTTGCCTCTCAGATGTGCAGCTGGCTTTTGATTGTGCTTCTCCTGAGTATGTGCGTCTATGTTTCAGTTACCACTTTTCCTCTCATCATACAGTTCACATTTTTGCTTCATCTGTAAGACTATGTGTACCTTCAAGAAAGGAGCAGTAGACTGTTTTGTTTGCAAGCAGCATGCAGCCATGAAGATGGCTTGAGAAGTGAGCACATCTGACGCAGACTGCTGCATGTCATGGTTGGGCAGGTTGCACATTTTACAGCAACACAAATGGGAGATCCTTTGAGCACTTCTCTTGGTGTTCTTAGTTATTGCCTGTACTATTCAGTGTATAGATGTCATTGTTGTCTATCCTGAATATTTACAAATGCAGAAAGTTTCAGTAGACTATATTACAGTCAAGTCTAGAAAGAGCTGCAGTTTTTCTCAACCCTTTGTTTAGTTTTGGTTTGATTTTTGTTTTAGTTTTTTGAGACAGGGTTTCTCTGTGTAGCCCTAGCTGTCCTGGAACTCACTCTGTAGACAAGGCTGGCCTCGAACTTAAAAAATCCACCTGCCTTTGCCTCCCGAGTGCTGGGATTAAAGGTGTGCACCACCACTGCCTCACAGTCTCCAAAACATTCTTAACTAAGCTGTCTTAGCTGAGTAGGCAGGGGCTAGCTTTAGGACTTTTTAAAAAATACTTTTTCAACTTTCAGGAAAACCAGCTTGTACTGGGTTAAGTGGAAATAAGCCTTCCAAGTGACTTCCTCCCCATTTTACAACTCTTCATCCCTGATTTCTTTTTTCCCTTTCTTTCTTTTCTTTTTTTTCATTCATTCATTCATTTGAGACAGGATCCCCTAGGTGCCCCTGGCTGACCTGTAGTTCCCGGAGACTGCCTGTGTCTGCGTCTCTGCCTCACTCTTCATATGTATTAGTTTATCTCTGTGACGGGATCTCATGTGTCCCAGGGCGGCCTTGAATCCCAGACCCTCCAGCTTGCTCCTCCCTGGTTCTAGGATAACTGCCATGCACCGTTGTACCTGGTCTGTGCGGTGCCTGCTGAGCAAGCCCTGCTCCTCCGCCAGCTCAGCCATGGAGGCGTGCAGGCGCCGCCTCAGCAGCACTTCTCGGTTTGCTCTCATAGATTTTGTTCACTGTTTGAATATCTGCTTCTGCCAAACACAGTTCTCATCCTTGAGGAAGACTGCAAGCATATTCTCTAATCATTGAGTTTAGATGACCACATAGCACACAGTGTGGTGGGTGTGGGAGGCCCAGCATGGTCTGGCTCTGTGCACTCTCTGACCTTGTGTGACCCACTTTCCTCTTGTGTCTCTCTTTGTATCCTTTCTAATACAGACAACCAGCCATACCCCAACAAAGCCTCTGCCTCCTCTCCTCATAGCCCGGCCTCTCACACTTGCTGATTGTTCCCTTTGGCCCCATACAGGGGTCTCTGCATCAGACACTTGTCCCCTCGTGTGCCCTAGCTGAGCTGTGATCCCCAGGAGCTGTCTGCCTTACTCTGCCTGGTGCTTTGCAAATATTGTCGTCATATCCTCCTGTGGGTTTTCTCCCTTGCCTTGTAAGCTCTGTTAGAGCGGGATGCTCTCCTCTATCCCTGATTGTTAGTGTCTGGAGCAGTAGCGGGCGTACCTGCAGGTATTATTTGTAGAATAAATGATTGCAAGAACCTATCAATCTACCTAGCAACTTGTAGGACAGCTGGGGTTACATAGAGAGACCCTGTCTTTAAAACGCAGAACAGTCAAAAACATGACGCATTCAAGTGGCTGAGAGTGTACGACATGCAGATGGTCTGAGCTGTTAGCTGGGTTTTAGCAGCATCCCAGACTTACAGAGGACTTGGATGTCAGAGTTGTCAACTGACACAACACTATGATGTAGACTTAGCATCTAGGTTGTCAGGTGAGGGGACAGATTGGAACTTTTTTGTACATGAGTGTAAACAAAGCTGCTTCCTTCTGGGTGCTCTGCTTCCGTTTCCCGTTACATAGCCAAGGTCATACCTGGCACCACTGTGTTCTATCGTATTCAAAGCCCAGTGTGCAGCTGAGAGCCAATAAGGAAATAGCCAGTGAGGTCAGAGGTTACTGGGGCGGAGTAAGGGGCTGGAGGGATTCTCTCTCACTGAATGAATGAGAAGTGTGACCCTTGGTGGTTAATTGTCAGCTCCTGCCACCGTTTTCAGGCCTGTTTAAATCTGGAAGACATGCTCTGCCTTTTCCTAATTGCTTTTAGATAGAGCCCACAGTGATGGAGATGCCAAGCTGTAACAAGAGGTTTTTGTTTTGTTTTGAACCTTCTTTGTATTGTGCTTTTAAAAAGCCTGAGATAGTGGGAATCTTGATAGTTGGTTGTCACCCAAGTGTGACTCTGGAACAGGGTGGTTTGGAACCCCAAAAATCACCAATCCTGAATTCCACTTAGTGCTGGTTGAGAGACAAGTCACTTGTCTTACTGGGGACTTAAGTTTAGAGGATGTCACGTCCCAAGTTAGAAGCAAAACTGGAATCCGGTAGTGAAGTTGTTGTTTTGGCCTTCAGCTTACAATATAATCTCACTTAATCTTCTAAAGATGAGGCATTGGATAGCTTTCCTATTGCAGTGCACTCCAGCCTTCCTTAATTTATTGTAGGAATTTACTCTTTAGTCCAGTGATAATATCAAGCATGTCTTCTCAAATGCCATTAAGTACACTTGTCAGAATCAGAGTACTGTGGAGACACGGGCCTCTCTTGTGGTGCCCCTTTCAGATTATCCATTCTGCTTTTATGGAACTTGGTTAGACAGTGAGTTCACCTGCTTGCGCTTCCATAGCCGGCTGATTTGAGAAGTGGCTTGCCACCCATAAGCAGTAACTGGTGCTTGTTCCTGTCCTGTGTTGTATGATTTGCTTTGGAACTCCTTCTGTATGTGAGCTGAAATTTGCTACTTGGTGATAATAGATTGATCTTGGACCTTGTGGGAACAGCATGGACTGATGAGCTGAAAGAGCCCGGCCCCGTAAAGAGTGCTTTCAGTTGACTGGTAGCCTAGGAGAGCTGTGCTGGTTATTTCTGTGTAAGTGACTAATTGTACTAACGCGGTGGTGTGACAGTCTCCTCCTCCTCTTAGAAACGGTTGTGATAAAATGGATCAGAAGACTGGATCCACTGCGTACGTCTCCCAGCTCATCAGAAACAGCTGTGTGTGATAGGAAAGGGGGCTGGGGGTCCCACTGGGGCCGTGTGCTCTCACCGTTTGCTGTGCCTCTATGTGTGATGTGTGTGATGGTTGCAGATGCATGTGTACTGTGGTATGGAGGTCAAGGACAACTCTGGGGAGTTGGGTCCTCGGGATTGAGTTCAGGCTTTCGTGGTGAGTGTTATCACCCACTGAGCCATCTTAGGAGCCCTAGTCAGCATTCTTACATTTATCAGATTATATGCCAGTCTGAAGCTAAAAAGACACAGTTCCTGAAGCAGCTGTTGGGTTGGATGCCTCTAAGCCCAGCACTCAGGAGGGTGAGGCAGGAGAATGACAAGGGCAGCCGAGGTAAATAGTGAGACCTGTCTCACTAGCTCCAGGAGTGGGGGAGGGGGGTACCTCAGTTGAAAGAGTGTCTGCCTCAGATGCACAAGGCACTGGTTCCTCAGCACCACCAAAAAGTAAGTGGCTGGGATGAGGAAACAGCACTGTGTTCTTGACAGTCTTTCTTCACGAGATTTTGAGGAACTGTTAGGGCAATTGACTAACTATGGCGACATCTGTAAAATGTTGAAATAATATGAATTAATGTATCTGCATGTGTGCATATGAGTGAATGTTGATGCCACAGCATGCATGTGGAGGCCAGAGAACAGCTTACAGGAGTGACTGCTCTCCTTCCACGGTGTGCTCCTTCTGATCATGGGCCTTGGGCCCTCAGGCTTGGCAGCTGCCTTTGAATATATTCTTTGGGGGCTTGGAACGCCACTAAAATCAAAACTGCCTTGATAAAAACACTTCAGAGTCTAGTTTACTCTGGTTTTGGTTTGGTTTTTGTTTTTTTTTGTTTTTGTTTTGTTTTGTTTTTTTGAGATGGGGTTTCTCTGTGTAGCCTTGGCTGTCCTGGGACTCACTCTATAAACCAGGCTGACCTCAAACTCACAGAGATCTGCCTGCCTCTGCCTCCTGAGTGCTGGGATTAAAGGAGTGCGCCACCACACATGGCTACTCTTTATTTTTCTAAAGAAGTATTTTGTATGTATGTTAAAGGGTGTGTTTATATGCACATGAGTGCAGTGCCCACGGAGGCCAGAAAAAGAACGTTAGGTCTTCTGGAGCTGGAGGCACAGGCAGCTATGAGCTGCCCAACATGGGTTTTGGGGACTGAACTCAGGTCCCCTCAACAGCAGGAAGAACTTTCGCTGATGTGCCATTTCTCCAGCCTCTTAGTTTATCCTTAAGTTATGTGTGAAGTTCACCTTTTCCTTAAGGTGAGATAAACATGCAAGTGTTAGGAAAATGGCTAAAAGCTCACTTTCAAGCCAAAACTAGGCCAAGTCCCCCTGGTCATCATACAGTGGTCAACCCTCCTGAGCCTCGGGAAGAGGGGAGAGACACCTGCCCTCACTTACACACTCGGCCCTGGCTCTGCTCTGTCCCTGTGCTGCTGCTGCTGCAGTAGTGAGGTTTGTGTGCCGAGCCTGCTGGGCTTGAGTGCGCTCACACCCCCATTTCACGCCAGAAAGCACCACACCTGCGGGCGCTCTGGCCGTCCCTGCTCCTCCTTCCTTTAAGGTGGAGCGGACAGTGCTCATGAGCCCCAGCCTTTTGCAGGTGTTTTTGAAAGGTTAAGATTGCACTTTGAAAATCTTAAAACAGCACCGGATTAATGAGGCAGACATATGATGATGGGATTGCAGGTGCGTGGTTCTTTATTACGTGTGTACAGGTAATGATCCCATGGGGTTCTACTGCAAAGATAGAGAAGACAGCTGAAGGGCTGGGCCTAGCGTCCTGAAGCATCAGGCTGGATCTTGAGCACTGTTGTGTTGCGAAAAGACAGAGGAGAGCATTTAACGTGGGGCTTGCTTACAGCTTTAGAGGTTTGTACGTTATCATGGGGGTGCAGGGGCTGGGCCTGGTTTGGGCTTTTGAAACCTCCAAGTTTACCCCAATGACATGTCCTCCGATCTTAGTTAGGGTTACCGTGGCTGTGATGACTTGCCATGACCCAAAAGTAAGTTGGGAAGGAAAGGGTTTCACTCACAGTTTCACTTCATATAAAGCAGTGAGGGCAGGGACCTGGAGGCAGGAGCTGATGCAGAGCCATGGAGGAGCGCTGCTGACTGCCTTGCTCTGCTCTGCATGGCTTGCTCAGCCTGCTTTCTTATAGAACCCAGAACTACCAGTCCAGGGGTGACATGCCTTGTAGGCTGGGCTCTCCCCCATCAATCACTAATTAAGAAAATGCCCTACACCTAGATCCTGTGGAGGCATTTTCTCGAGTGAGGCGCCCTCCTCTCTGATAACTTTTTTTTTGATATTTTATTTATTTACATTTCAGATGCCATTCCCTTTCCCCATTTCCCCTCCCTAGAAAACTCCTAGCCCATCCTCTTTCCTCCTTTTTGCTTTTATACCATTTTAATTACATGCAAGTATTAAGGTCAGTTCTAGGTTGAGGAACTAGCAATACAACAGATGCAAATAGTCAAGGAACAAGTAAGACAATAAACACAAATAGTCAAAGAACAAGCAAGGCAATATGTCAAATTGACACAAAAGTAGCTAGTATATCTACTAATCCTTCTCAAACAGTTCCATCCATAATTGGGGACCAAGCATTCAAATATATGAACCTATGGGAACCATTCTCAGTCAAACCCCCACAGTGGTATACTCCGTCACCCTAGCATTCAAGATGTAGAGGCAAGAATCAGAAAGTCAAGGTCATCTTTGACTAAGTTTGCGGTGACCTGGGGTACGTAAAACTTGTCTTAGAAAAGAGAATACAAAGAGAAAGAAAGCACTTACAGTGCATATGTGCCTTTCTAATCTCCGTCTATACCTTCTTTTCACCTCAGTGTTTTCTTTACAGACTGGAAAAGGACATAGCAAGTCAAAGTGGGCCTAAGTGTGGAGATGTTAGTGCATGTAGGAAGGTTGAGTCAGTTTGAGCTGGTGTGGTTCTTCTTTCCTGGCTCGGTCAGTATGTAACATACACACACACATACACACACACACCCCTTCTATTTCTAGGTACCTGGTGACCCATCTTATGGGGGCAGACCTGAACAACATCGTGAAGTGCCAGAAGCTTACTGACGACCACGTTCAGTTTCTTATCTACCAGATCCTCCGAGGGCTGAAGGTATAGGCAATAGCTTTGTCATTTGGGGAAATGAATTATCACTCTTTCCTGTGTAGTGAGAATTTAGAAAAGACAGTTTTTCTTATGAAAAACTTAAAAGAGTTACAGAATCAACCTACCCTGCTGCTCTTGTATTTCCCAGGCCACAGTTCACTAGAAAGCAAATGTTAGTTTGTCCTTCCCTTTGATCCCTAGTCTGAATATCCAAGAGACAGGGACTTTGAGCCACATTGAAAAGTTAGTAGCATCTTGATGCACCCTGGTATCCATCCAGTCTGTGATACTGAGACCTTGAGACATTCCTCAGTGCTGTGAGCTGCTTTTATATTCCTTCTCAGGACTTGACGGGCTGAAAAACAAGGACCACTGTGTGTAGCCTAAGGAGTGCCAGCCACCAGGGCTGTCTAGTGGTGGGGAGGGAGCACTTCAAAACCACCTTTGATGTTTGGCATATTGGAACCCTTACTGAGGTCATCCTCGAGAAAGAAAATAGGTTGACAACTCCAGTAGGTGGAGTGGGGAATTACAGTTTGTGTAAGAACCCACTGTGACCATGCGCAGTGCTTGCTGGCCGAGGGGGAACACTACAGGCATCCTAGAGGCTGTGACGCCACAGAGCTGAAGATGGCTTTCGTTCTGACTTTCTTCTCTTTTGCAGTATATCCATTCGGCTGACATAATCCACAGGGTATGTATTGCACCTTCCTTAGGTGGTATTGTTTTGGTAGTGTGGGTTGGGCTAGAAGAGTGGCATCCAGTTCAGGTCTCAGTCTACACTTGTCACTGAAATAGTGATTTACTTCAGCCTTCCTTTCAGTGTAGACAGGCAAAGGAACACTTGCCATTTGCCTGCTCAAGGCTTTGAAGTCTGCCTTTCTCTCTGGGGACTCTTCCCCATGTGTGCAGGAGTGGACTCGGCATCACTGATACGCTCTCTCTGCTTGCTTTCCAGGACCTAAAGCCCAGCAACCTAGCTGTGAACGAAGACTGTGAGCTCAAGGTAAGAACGAAGACATGGACCATTTGCTTCCCTTGAGTGTGCCTCACAGTCATGACCAAGCACACTTAGAGAAAATGATTTATAAGCCATGACTTGCTCTCTGAAAAGTCGTTTGTCCTTAGGAATATCAGACTGTGAGGTTTGAAACAGGCTGAGCAAGCTGCTTAAGTAACTTTGGAAATAAATGTCGGTATCTTGTTTTCATTTTTAAAAGATAGCTAAATTAGAAATGTAACACATTAATCGTGATAAAGGGATATTATAGTGTAAATGTCAGTTAAGCATTCCCAGAACACTGATTATTAAATAGATTTCTAAAAGGAAAAATTGCAGATCTCAGAATGATCTAATAAGACCTAAGTAAATTAGTTCTCTTTAAAAAGTAAATAGTACTGCACTTTTTTCTTTTTTTTAATGAATTTTTTGAAATTTATGCAGGGGCTAGAGGGTTGGCTGATTTCCCAGCAGCCACATAGAGGCTCCCAGTCGTCTGCAGCTAGAAGGTCTGATGCCCACTTTTCATCTCTGTGGACACTGCACAGACTTGGTGCACAGATATACATGCAGGCAGAACATTCATATACATAAAATTGAAAAGAAAAAGTATACCTCTTTGTAGGGATTTAATGTCCATGTAACCACAGTTTTGACATAGTAACCTCCAGAGCTTCAAAAAGTTTTGAGTGTCCCCTCCTAGTGACCCGTGACCCTCACCCTTCATCCAATGCTGGCAGCCACTGACCCAGTTCTGACTCTGGATTAATCTTGTATTTCATATAAATGGACCGTACAGAATCACGCACATCCCTGGATTGTGTGTCCATCTGTGTGTGCTTCAGTGTTCTCACGTGGCTGCTCAGCAGCTTCATTTCACAAGCATACCAAAGTTTGTAGCCTGTCGGCCCGTGAGTGGATGCTTGCCTCTGTTGTGGTTCGGGAATATAAACCTGTTGTGAACGGCCGTGTGCAGACCCACCCGTGTGGGCGGATTTTTTTGTCCTTGAGTAAATTGCTAGCTTTGCTCGCAGCTTTATTTTGACGTTTCTTGGAGTGCTTCATTCACCGTGCACTCTTAAGTGCAGATGGGGCACTCACGTTCTGCTTCCCTTGACTTGGCACTCCTGTGTCTGACTTCTGCTCTTGCCCTTAGATTCTGGATTTTGGGCTGGCTCGGCACACTGATGATGAAATGACCGGCTACGTGGCTACCAGGTGGTACAGAGCCCCTGAGATCATGCTGAATTGGATGCACTACAACCAGACAGGTGCTGCTCCAGACGCCCGGCCCGGCCTGGCCCAGATGGGGAAGGGGTGCTCCTTAACCTGGCTTTCAGATGAATGACTTAGCAGTTGGAGCGGCCTTTCTTCTTAAGTATTCCTTGTCATTCTCTCTGTGACACTACTTGTGGGGAGTGGACTCTTAATCCTAACACTTACGTTTCCTGGGAAGATCCACAATTATATCAGTAACAAAGTTTTGCCCCTTTGTGAGTTGCTTATTTCTTTTATCTTAATTATATTCTGAGTTACATGACCTGTGGGGCCCTTTCTTAAGTGCCAGTTTTAATAAGTTCATTTCTATAAAAAAATAATAATAATTGTCAAACCTTGGTGTCTTAAATGCTGACTCTCTCGCTCGTAGTTAGAGTCATTTGTGTCCATGAATATGAATAGAAACCATGTCTGTGCTTGTACCCTCATTACTATTCCAGTGGATATTTGGTCCGTGGGCTGCATCATGGCTGAGCTGTTGACCGGAAGAACGTTGTTCCCTGGTACAGACCGTATCCTTTAACACGTTTGGCCCTATTTCTCATCTGTGTGTTGTTGTAGATGTACGCTCCCCTTGTTTGTGGGGAAGACTCAGTTCTTTGCAGTTCAGGCTTTGCTTTTGAGGTTTGTCCTCTTGTTGAATTGCCAAGAAAAGGCTTTGGGGTTGAGAAAACAAGCTTAAAAGTCACCTGTGTCTTTTTGCAGCAAGTCTTGATTAATGAGTTTAGTCAGTTTCTGCAAGTCCTTGGCGAGTGTACACAGCCACCTGTACCTCAGAGATATCTGGTTCTCATATTTGCTTATGTACTAAACAGACTGTGGGGCCCTGTGCTGACACACCTGCTGAGTCTTGCCCTACTTGCTGCTTAATAACCAACTAAAGAAGGAAGAGGAGAGAGAGGCCCTGTTGTGTGCTTTTGTTCTCCACAAAGCATTGTTCCGCTTAGAGCCAGCCCCACTTTAGTTCCGTATTTAGCACCATCTGGGTTTTGGGCACCAAGCACCCTTTCCTATCTGCTGGGCACTTGTTCTGTGGCTTAGGAGTAACATCATCGACTATGTGTGTGGGAACTCCCATCAGCTCTGCTTAGGGAGGATGTTATGCGAGAATGTTAAAACGGATGCTTAAAATCTATCTTCAGGAGGAGTTTTGCAGAACTCTAGTGCCCTGCAAATGGTGTTGGTTGGGCTCTTACCGCAGCAGCACATGCTTACCTTCTAACTGCAGGGTGAGCGTTGCCTAACACACCTTGAGTCTATAAGCCCACGAGCTGACAGCTTGGGCTGCCCTTCTCCAGTGACTGCAATGCCACTGTGTCTGTCCTGACAGTTTTCTGCTAGACAGTGTCTTTTATGGAGTGGAATCCTTTGTTCCTCGTGGAATGCTGTCTGTTCCTCTGTGTGTTGCAGGTACACCCCACTCTAGGGTGTCAGCACCTTACCTTACCGTCTCTATTCCCTTGAGATTTTGGCTTGCTCACAGTCCAAGCTCAGAGGATTAGACGGGATTTGTGATGCACCTTGTGCTGTCCTCTGGGACCATCCTGAAGCTGCTTTCTCTTCTCTTTCCTTTCCCCTGGTGTCTCTCCAGCTGTCCCAGACACACATGCCTTCATAGGTGGGTGGGCGGGCAGACATGCGAGCAGACACGCAGGCAGGCGGGCAGACCGACTCATCCTTAGGGGAGCCTCTCAGTGTGTTGCTTTTGTAATCTATGTATTCACAGTTAGAGGCCAAGGCCCTGGAATTTAGATTTTAGATTTTTTTGTTTAGAACTATGTAGCTTTGATCAAGTTTTCCAACATCCACATTTCTCTGTTTCCTTAGCTGTATACAGCTTGGTGATTGTGAGAATTTACTGAGACCAGAACCACCAGGAAGTGCTAACTTCACCAGTATCTGTGAAAGCAGATCACTGTATCAGCAGCTAGTCATGGTCACAGACAAATACCTGTGAGAAAGACTTACTTTTGGCTCATGGGTTCAGAAGTCTGGGTCCATGGTGAGGTAGAGCGTCATGGCAGCAGAGCATGTGGCACAGGAGGCTGCTCACTTCATGGTGGCCAGGAAGCAGGGGAGGGGGGAGGGGGAGAGCGCACGTGCACGCAAGAGAGGAGGTTGGGGGAGAGGAAAGCATCCAAGAACAAAGTACCTTCCAGGACACACTCCTAGTGACCTGCTTCCTCTCCCAGACCCCCATCTCCTAAAGTTCCCAGCATGAAAAATAGTAGCACCAGCTGGGGTCAGACCCGCAGCAGGAGACATTTGAGGTCCATACTGTTAATACTCTATCCCGAGCCTCTAAAGACCATTTATTTAGCTTGTAGTATGAAACACATTCAGTCCATGTCCAAGAATCCAGATCCTCTTGAGTCTCCGAGATTCAAGGCAAACTCAGCTGTAGCCCCTGTTAAAATCAATAAACAGATTATATATTTCTAGTTTTTAGTGGCGTAAACATTCTCATCCAAGAGTAAGGAAGGACTAGACCAGAGCAAGGTGAGATCGAGCATTAAAATTCCAGTTTGACATCCATCATCAGAGGCTCGGGTGGCACCATCTGAGTTCCAAAGGACTTAGGCAGCCCACCTCCTATGACCTTGCTGGATGTATCCATTTGCTTTCTCTCTTGGCTCACTGCCTGTCGCTCTGTCCACAGCCCACATTCTGGGTGCTCACACTTGTGGGGCCTCTCACAGCTTCATGGGTCACACTGTCAGGCCGTCACAGTGAGTCCAGCCCTGGTGTACACTGCCCAGGCTTCCCTTGGAGATGTGGATGCTTCTGCCACCCCATCATTCTTGGGTTCTGCGTGCCTCAAAAACCAGCATCATTGCTGCCAGGTTAGTCAGTAGCTGGGTCTTTTTGGACCATGGCTGCAATGACCTCAGAGTAGCTGAGCACTATGACCAGGTCCTAGAAAGACCTTCCTAACCAGCCCTCAGTGGGCAGGGGGCTCTGAGGTGCCTCTTCTCTAGGGTGTTTTAGGCAAGTTTATACTTTGCACCTGGGCCTACAGTAGTTAAGGTCTCTCCCGATTTCCAGCATATCTGATGTCTTTTCTATCTTTTCTGTACAGTTCTTTGTTTGTCGTTGTTGTTGGTAGATGTGTTTTGCTTTGTTTTGTTTGAGACAGTCTGTCTTTGTAGCTCGTGCTCACCTGGAACTACTGTGTATTTCAGGACAGCCTCAGCCTCGCAGTGCTCCTGCCTCGGTCCCCTGAGCCACCGTGCCTGTTGTTATGCTGTGCTGGGCCTGGAACCCAGGGCCTTATGCATGCTAAAAAAGCTCTCCGCCAGCTGAGTCATGTCGCTAGGCAATTCTCACAGATGGATGTTCTCAGTAAAAGTAGGAGTTAACCCACATGTGTTTGGTTTTAGCCGGGTGAACCTGAAAGCATCTTTCTTTCTTTCTTTCTTTCTTTCTTTCTTTCTTTCTTTCTTTCTTTCTTTCTTCCTTCCTTCCTTCCTTCCTTCCTTCCTTCCTTCCTTTCTTTCTTTCTTTCTTTCTTTTTTTAAATATTTATTTAATGTATATGAGTACACTGTAGCTGTCTTTAGACACACCAGAAGAGGGCATCCGATCCCATTACAGATGGTTGTGAGCCGCCATGTGGGTGCTGGGAATTGAACTCAGGACCTCTAGAAGAGCAGTCAGTGCTCTTAAGCACTGAGCCATCTCTCCAGCCCTCTATTTTTCTTAAGGTCCTGAAGTTCTCTTCACTGCCCTGTTCTATGGTTTCTAGAACTCTCTTCAAAGCCTCCAGAGAACATGCCAACCTCACTCCAACTAGCCTAGAAGGCCTGTGGCTGTCGCCTGTGTGGTTTGTAAACGGGTTTACAGGCTGCTCTTTCCTGGAGTTGGATTGTCTCTGTGGGTTTCTGTAGACCTCACTTTTAGTCATTCTGCCTGTGTCTTAGCTTCTGTCTGAGAACTGCCTAATAGGACTTTCCGAGGCATCGTCGATCTGTTAGGTGTGTGCTGTCCTATAGTGTGACTCGTAGGTAAAGAGCCCTGTGGTTAATGTGACTTGATGACTGATTTGACTTAAATTAATCTTCTCTACAATTTTAAAGTTTATAGCCTATCAGTATTAATTAGGTTCATAATGTCGTACAGTCATTGCCACTGACTCCTGTGCTGTGACTTAGAAAACCGTTCATAAGTGTGTTAGCTGTGGTTGTGTAAGGAGGCTTCTCTGGAAGCCTGGAGGGCTGTACAGGTCAAGTGAATTCAACTGATAGAGCTTGACGGCAAAGGAGAGCTTAGTATCAGGCCATCTCTCCAAGGGGAGCCATGTGTGCGTCAGTTACGTATCCAGTCGCTGATGCCAGCACTTCAGCTTAAGGATCATAAGCTCTGTGGCCTTTCTTGCCTCTATCCAGTATAGACAATACAGTTTCCTACCAGAGACCACAGACTTGACTTGCTATTTTCCTGTGTAATCAAGTATAAATTTCCTTCATGCATAAAAGGCCCTTCCCCCATTGTAGTGGATGTGGTACTCCTAAGATGTGACCTGTAGACTGGAGAGACAGCTCAGCAGTTAAAGAGCATAGCTGTTCTTCCAGACTGTTCAAATTCTAGCACCTGCATGGTAGTTCACAGACATCTATAACTCCAGTCTCAGGGACCCAATGTCTTCTTTTGGTCTCTGTGGGCACCAGGCACATGCATGGTACAGATATGTACACAGGCAAAATGCTCGTACACATAAAAATGAATTTTTCTTTTTTAAAAGATGTGAACAGAGGGTGCCGGGGCTGCTGGGTTACACTTACATGCTTCTGTTGCTGCACTGATCTGTGTGCTGTCCTTGGTGTATTAGAACAGTCTCAATGTGCTGGGCGGTGGTGGCGCACGCCTTCATCCTAGCACTTGGGAGGCAGAGGCAGGCAGATTTCTGAGTTCGAGGCCAGCCTGGTCTACAGAGTGAGTTCCAGGACAGCCAGGGCTACACGGAGAAACCCTGTCTCGAAAAACCAAAAAAAAAAAAAAAAAGGAACAAAAGAATAGTCTCAATGCAACGGTTAGTCCTTTTTCAAGCATGTAATGGAACATTGCATATATACAACACAGTGGTCTAGTGAAGCCTGTGTCTGCTCTCTCCAGAGGATGAAGTAAAATGTGGGCGGTTGAGCAAACGCAGTAGAACGCACACCATATCGTAGCTACCCATTACTCTCCAGTGTCAGTTTGCTGTCTTATCTTGTTTTTAGTTGGTTCTTTTTTTTTTTTTTTTTTTTTTATATTTATTTATTTATTTTATTGATGAGTACACTGTAGCTGTCTTCAGACACACCAGAAGAGGGCATCCAATCTCATTATGGATGGTTGTGAGCCACCATGTGGTTGCTGGGATTTGAACTCAGGACCTCTGTAAGAGCAGTCAGTGCTCTTAACCACTAAGCCATCTCTCCAGCCCCAGTTGGTTCTTTTCTTAAACTCAGGGAGTGCTTATGTATGCCAGGCAGATACTGCACCACTGAGCTGCGTCTCCACAAGTCGTCCT